CTTCTTGTTTAATGTGGCACCTTAGAGACTAACCAATTTATTTGAGCATGAGCTTTCGTGAGCTACAGCTCACTCCTTTTCTTTTTGCGAATACAGACTAACACAGCTGTTCCTCTGAAACTTGTTTAATGTGTGGCCTTATTTAATGCATATCATTCAAACTCCGCACTGTATACAGAATTAGTAATTTCCTCAGTGGCAGTTTCTCTGGTGGTCTCACCATAATACCTGAGAGCTTCACAAATATTTATGAATTTATCTTCACAACAGTCCTGTGAGATTAGGCGGTAATGTTCTCCCAATTATTCAGCTGGGGATCTGAGGCAGAAAGCAAGGCCAAAATTGTTAGCTGTGTCCAACTTCGAACACCTAGCTCCCATCACATTCAGTTGCAGTTATGAGTGCTCAGCACTACTACAATATTGACTGCAGATATCTGACACTGGACACCTGGAACACCACCACAATTAGTAACTTACTATGAAAGTCTGGTTTAAGTGACTTTCTCAGCACCACATAGGAATTCTGTGGCAGAGGCAGGGAACACCACCCACTTCTCCAGGGCAGCAATAAACTTTAACCACAAAACCACACCTCTTCCAATTCCTGCAACAAATGAGGCAGGACACACACACAACCTCATTTGCTACACAACACTGATTCAGTCCCAGAGTACATTACATTCTGTGCACTGAATAATGCAGGGGTCCTGTTGAAAAAAACTAGTATGTGACCATGTAGTTGAAAACAAGAGTAACTCCTCACTTAAAGTCATCCTGGTTAACGTTGTTTCATTGTTACCTTGCGGATCAATTAGGGAACATGCTCGCTTAAAGTTGCGCAATGCTCCCTTATGTTGTTTGGCAGCTGCCTGCTTTATCCAGTGCTTGCGGGAAGAGCAGCCCGTTGGAGCTGCTGGCGGGGGCTTGGAGCCAGGGTGGACCAGAACCCTCCCTCTCCCCCATCAACTCCCCGCTCCCCTAAGTGCCCTGTGCAGCAGCTGCCCAGCAGTTCAGCTGTCCCTCCCCCCACTGCCGTGTGCTGCTCCTGCCAGAAAACTGAAAAAGGGCAAATATAGTGCCAATCTATAAAAAGGGAAACAAGGACAACATGGGGAATTACAGACCAGTCATCTTAACTTCTGTACCTGGAAGATAACGGAGCAAATAATTAAGCAATCAATTTGCAAACATCTAGAAGATAATAAGGTGATAAGTAACAGTCAGCATGGATTTGTCAAGAACAAATTATGTCAAACCAACCTGATAGCTTTCTTTGGGTATGTCTACACTACGAAATTAGGTCGAATTTATAGAAGTCGGTTTTTTAGAAATCGGTTTTATATATTCGAGTGTGTGTGTCCCCACAGAAAATGCTCTAAGTGCATTAAGTGCATTGACTCGGCGGAGCGCTTCCACAGTACCGAGGCAAGCGTCGACTTCCGGAGCGTTGCACTGTGGGTAGCTATCCCACAGTTCCCGCAGTCTCCGCTGCCCATTGGAATTCTGGGTTGAGATCCCAATGCCTGATGGGGCTAAAACATTGTCGCGGGTGGTTCTGGGTACATATCGTCAGCCCCCCGTTCCCTCCCTCCCCCCGTGAAAGCAAGGGCAGAATCATTTCACGCCTTTTTTCCTGAGTTACCTGTGCAGACGCCATACCATGGCAAGCATGGAGCCCGCTCAGGTAACCGTCACCCTATGTCTCCTGGGTGCTGGCAGACGCGGTACGGCATTGCTACACAGTAGCAGCAACCCCTTGCCTTGTGGCAGCAGACGGTACAGTACGACTGGTAGCCGTCATCGTCATGTCTGAGGTGCTCCTGGTCGCCTCTGTGAGGTCGATCAGGAGCGCCTGGGCAGACATGGGCACAGGGACTAAATTTGGAGTGACTTGACCAGGTCATTCTCTTTAGTCCTGCAGTCAGTCCTACTGAACCGTCTTATGGTGAGCGGGCAGGCGATACGGACTGCTAGCAGTCGTACTGTACCATCTTCTGCCGAGCAGCCATGAGATGTGGATGGCATGCAGTCCTTCTGCACCGTCTGCTGCCAGCCAAAGATGTAAAAGATAGATGGAGTGGATCAAAACAAGAAATAGACCAGATTTGTTTTGTACTCATTTGCTTCCCCCCTCCCCTGTCTAGGGGACTCATTCTTCTAGATCACACTGCAGTCACTTACAGAGAAGGTGCAGCGAGGTAAATCTAGCCATGTATCAATCAGAGGCCAGGCTAACCTTCTTGCTCCAATAAGGACAATAACTTAGGTGCACCATTTCTTATTGGAACCCTCCGTGAAGTCCTGCCTGAAATACTCCTTGATGTAAAGCCACCCCCTTTGTTGATTTTAGCTCCCTGAAGCCAACCCTGTAAGCGCCCCTCCCAGCGTCAGAGCAATGGCAAACAATCGGGCATCTGAGAGTGCTGTCCAGAGCAGTCACAATGGAGCACTCTGATGGGGCTAAAACATTGTCGCGGGTGGTTCTGGGTACGTGTCGTCAGGCCCCCGTTCCCTCCCTCCCTCCGTGAAAGCAAGGGCAGACAATCATTTCGCGCCTTTTTTCCTGAGTTACCTGTGCAGACGCCATACCACAGCAAGCATGGAGCCCGCTCAGGTAACCGTCACCCTATGTCTCCTGGGTGCTGGCAGACGCGGTACGGCTTTGCTGCACAGTAGCAGCAACCCCTTGCCTTCTGGCAGCAGATGGTGCAATACGATTGGTAGTCGTCCTCGTCGTGTCCGAAGTGCTCCTGGCCACGTCGGCTGGGAGCGCCTGGGCAGACATGGGCACAGGGACTAAATTTGGAGTGACTTGACCAGGTCATTCTCTTTAGTCCTGCAGTCAGTCCTATTGAACCGTCTTATGGTGAGCGGGCAGGCGATACGGACTGCTAGCAGTCGTACTGTACCATCTTCTGCCAGGCAGGCAAGAGATGAGGATTGCTAGCAGTCGTATTGCACCATCTTCTGCCAGGCAGGCAAGAGATGGGGATGGCTAGCAGTCGTACTGTACCATCTTCTGCCGAGCAGCCATGAGATGTGGATGGCATGCAGTCCTTCTGCACCGTCTGCTGCCAGCCAAAGATGTAAAAGATAGATGGAGTGGGTCAAAACAAGAAATAGACCAGATTTGTTTTGTACTCATTTGCCTCCTCCCCTGTCTAGGGGACTCATTACTCTAGGTCACACTGCAGTCACTCACAGAGAAGGTGCAGCGAGGTAAATCTAGCCATGTATCAATCAGAGGCCAGGCTAACCTCCTTGTTCCAATAAGAACGATAACTTAGGTGCACCATTTCTTATTGGAACCCTCCGTGCAGTCCTGCCTGAAATACTCCTTGATGTACAGGCACCCCCTTTGTTGATTTTAGCTCCCTGAAGCCAACCCTGTAAGCCGTGTCGTCAGTCGCCCCTCCCTCCGTCAGAGCAACGGCAGACAATCGTTCCGCGCCTTTTTTCTGTGCGGACGCCATACCAAGGCAAGCATGGAGGCCGCTCAGCTCACTTTGGCAATTAGGAGCACATTAAACACCACACGCATTATCCAGCAGTATATGCAGCACCAGAACATGGCAACGCGATACCGGGCGAGGAGGCGACATCAGCGCGGTCACGTGAGTGATCAGGACATGGACACAGATTTCTCTGAAAGCATGGGCCCTGACAATGCATGCATCATGGTGCTAATGGGGCAGGTTCATGCTGTGGAACGCCGATTCTGGGCTCGGGAAACAAGCACAGACTGGTGGGACCGCATAGTGTTGCAGGTCTGGGACGATTCCCAGTGGCTGCGAAACTTTCGCATGCGTAAGGGCACTTTCATGGAACTTTGTGACTTGCTTTCCCCTGCCCTGAAGCGCATGAATACCAAGATGAGAGCAGCCCTCACAGTTGAGAAGCGAGTGGCGATAGCCCTGTGGAAGCTTGCAACGCCAGACAGCTACCGGTCAGTTGGGAATCAATTTGGAGTGGGCAAATCTACTGTGGGGGCTGCTGTGATGCAAGTAGCCCACGCAATCAAAGATCTGCTGATATCAAGGGTAGTGACCCTGGGAAATGTGCAGGTCATAGTGGATGGCTTTGCTGCAATGGGATTCCCTAACTGTGGTGGGGCTATAGACGGAACCCATATCCCTATCTTGGCACCGGAGCACCAAGCCGCCAAGTACATAAACCGCAAGGGGTATTTTTCGATAGTGCTGCAAGCTCTGGTGGATCACAAGGGACGTTTCACCAACATCAACGTGGGATGGCTGGGAAAGGTGCATGATGCTCGCATCTTCAGGAACTCTGGTCTGTTTCAAAAGCTGCAGGAAGGGACTTTATTCCCAGACCAGAAAATAACTGTTGGGGATGTTGAAATGCCTATATGTATCCTTGGGGACCCAGCCTACCCCTTAATGCCATGGCTTATGAAGCCATACACAGGCAGCCTGGACAGTGGTCAGGAGCTGTTCAACTACAGGCTGAGCAAGTGCAGAATGGTGGTAGAATGTGCATTTGGACGTTTAAAGGCGCGCTGGCGCAGTTTACTGACTCGCTTAGACCTCAGCGAAACCAATATTCCCACTGTTATTACTGCTTGCTGTGTGCTCCACAATATCTGTGAGAGTAAGGGGGAGACGTTTATGGCGGGGTGGGAGGTTGAGGCAAATCGCCTGGCTGCTGGTTACGCGCAGCCAGACACCAGGGCGGTTAGAAGAGCACAGGAGGGCGCGGTACGCATCAGAGAAGCTTTGAAAACCAGTTTCATGACTGGCCAGGCTACGGTGTGAAAGTTCTGTTTGTTTCTCCTTGATGAAACCCCCCGCCCCTTGGTTCACTCTACTTCCCTGTAAGCTAACCACCCTCCCCATCTCCCTTTAATCATTGCTTGCAGAGCCAATAAAGTCATTGTTGCTTCACATTCATGCATTCGTTATTCATTCATCACACAAATAGGGGGATGACTACCAAGGTAGCCCAGGAGGGGTGGTGGAGGAGGGAAGGAAAATGACACACAGCACTTTAAGCACAGCACTTTAAAAGTTTACAACTTTAAAATTTATTGAATGACAGCCTTCTTTTTTTTGGGCAATCCTCTGTGGTGGAGTGGCTGGTTGGCCGGAGGCCCCCCCACTGCGTTCTTGGGCGTCTGGGTGCGGAGGCTATGGAACTTGGGGAGGAGGGCGGTTGGTTACAGAGGGGCTGCAGTGGCAGTCTGTGCTCCAGCTGCCTTTGCTGCAGCTCAACCATACACTGGAGCATACTGGTTTGGTCCTGCAGCAGCCTCAGCATTGAATCCTGCCTCCTCTCATCACGCTGCCGCCACATTTGAGCTTCAGCCCTGTCTTCAGCCCGCCACTTACTCTCTTCAGCCCTCCACCTCTCCTCCCGGTCATTTTGTGCTTTCCTGCACTCTGACATTATTTGCCTCCACGCATTCGTCTGTGCTCTGTCAGTGTGGGAGGACAGCATGAGCTCGGAGAACATTTCATCGTGAGTGCGTTTTTTTTTCTTTCTAAGCTTCACTAGCCTCTGGGAAGGAGAAGATCCTGCGATCATTGAAACACATGCAGCTGGTGGAGAAAAAAAAAGGGACAGCGGTATTTAAAAAGACACATTTTATAAAACAGTCGCTACACTCTTTCAGGGTAAACCTTGCTGTTAACATTACATACATAGCACACGTGCTTTCGTTACAAGGTCGCATTTTGCCTCCTCCCACCGCGTGAACAGATTTTGGTTGAATGCCAGCAAACATACACTGCAATGCTTTGTTCTACAGTGATTCCCGAGTACGTGTTACTGGCCTGGAGTGGTAAAGTGTCCTACCATGAAGGACGAAATAAGGCTGCCCTCCCCAGAAACCTTTTGCAAAGGCAGAACCGCAAATGCCAGGGCAAAGTAATCCTTTCACATGCTTGCTTTTAAACCATGTATGGCATTTTAAAAGGTACACTCACCAGAGGTCCCTTCTCCGCCTGCTGAGTCCAGGAGGCAGCCTTGGGTGGGTTCGGGGGGTACTGGCTCCAGGTCTAGGGTGAGAAACAGTTCCTGGCTGTCGGGAAAACCGGTTTCTCCGCTTGCTTGCTGTGAGCTATCTACAACCTCCTCATCATCATCTTCTTCGTCCCCAAAACCTACTTCCGTATTGCCTCCATCTCCATTGAAGGAGTCAAACAACACGGCTGGGGTAGTGGTGGCTGAACCCCCTAAAATGGCATGCAGCTCATCATAGAAGCGGCATGTTTGGGGCTCTGACCCAGAGCGGCTGTTCGCCTCTCTGGTTTTCTGGTAGGCTTGCCTCAGCTCCTTCAGTTTCATGTGGCACTGCTTCGGGTCCCTGTTATGGCCTCTGTCCTTCATGCCCTGGGAGATTTTCAGAAAGGTTTTGGCATTTCGAAAACTGGAATGGAGTTCTGATAGCACGGATTCCTCTCCCCAAACAGCGATCAGATCCCGTACCTCCCGTTCGGTCCATGCTGGAGCTCTTTTGCGATTCTGGGACTCCATCATGGTCACCTGTGCTGATGAGCTCTGCATGGTCACCTGCAGCTTGCCACGCTGGCCAAACAGGAAATGAGATTCAAAAGTTCGCGGTTCTTTTCCTGTCTACCTGGCCAGTGCATCTGAGTTGAGAGTGCTGTCCAGAGCAGTCATAATGGAGCACTCTGGGATAGCTCCCGGAGGCCAATACCATCGAATTGTGTCCACAGTACCCCAAATTCGAGCCGGCAACGTCGATTTAAGCGCTAATCCACTTGTCAGGGGTGGAGTAAGGAAATCGATTTTAAGAGCCCTTTAAGTCGAAATAAAGGGCTTCATTGTGTGGACGGGTGCAGGTTTACATCGATTTAACGCTGCTAAATTCGACCTAAAGTCCTAGTGTAGACCAGGGCTCAGACAGGGTAACAAGTCTTGTGGATGGGGGGGGAAGCAGTAGATATGGTATATCTTTACATTAGTAAAGCTTTTGATACTGGTCTTGCATGACCTTCTCATACACAAACTAGAGAAATACAACCTAGATGGAGCTACTATAAGGTGGGTACAAAACTAGTGGGAAAACCGTTCCCAGAGAGTAGTTATCAGTGGTTATCAGTGGTTCACAGTCATGCTGGAAGGGCATAATGAGTGGGGTCCAACAGGGATCAGTTCTGAGTGTAGTTCTGTTCAATATGTTCATCAATGATTTAGATAATGGCATAGAGTACACGTATAAAGTTTGTGGACAATACCAAGCTGGGAGGAGTTGCAAATGCTTTAGAGAATAGGATTAAAATTCAAAATGATCTGGACAAACTGGAGAAATGGTCTGAAGTAAACAGGGTGCAGTTCAACAAGGACAAATGCAAAGTATTCCACTTAGGAAGAAACAATCAACTGCACACATACAAAATGGGAAATGACTGCCTCGGAAGGAGTACTGAAGAAAGGGATCTGGGGGTCATTGCGGACCACAAGCTAAATGAGTCAACAGTGTAACACTGTTGCAAAAAAAAGTGAACATCATTCTGGACTGTATTAGGCGGAGTGTTAAAGTAAGACATGAGAAGTAATTCTTCCACTCCAGCTGAGGCCTAATCGGCGCAGAGTAGAGTACTGTGTCCAATTCTGGGAGCCAAATTTTAGGAAAGAAGTGGACAAATTGGAGAAAGTCCAGAGAAGAGCAACAAAAATGATTAATGGTCTAGAAAACATGAGCTATAAGGGAAGATTGAAAAAATTGGGTTTGTTTAGTCTGGAAAAGAGAAGACAGAGGGGACATAACAGTTTTCAAGTACATAGAAGGTTGTTACAAGGATGAGGGAGAAGAATTGTTCTCCTTAACCTCTGAGGATAGAACAAGAAGCAATGGGCTTAAATTGCAGCAAAGGTGGTTTAGGTTGGACATTAGGAAAAACTTCGTAACTGTCAGGGTGGTTAAGCACCGAAATAAATTACCTAGGGAGGTTCTGGAATCTCCATCATTGGAGATTTTTAAGAGCAGGTTACACAAACACCTGCCAGGGATGGTCTAGATCAGGGGTGGGCAAACTTTTTGGCCCAAGGGCCACATCAGGGTTGCAAAACGGTATGGAGGGCTGGGTAGGGAAGGCTGTGCCTCCGCAAACAGCTTGGCCCCTGCCCCCTATCTGCCCCCTCCCACTTCCAGCCCCCTGACTGCCCCCCTCAGAACCTCTGACCCATCCAACCCCCCCTGCCCTGACCCCTATCCACACCCCCTGACAGGCCCGCAACCCATCCAACACCCCCCCCACTTCTTGTCCCCTGACCGCCCCCTCCCGGGACCCCCGACGCTAACTGTCCTCCCAGGACCCCACCCCCTATCCAACCCCCCTGCTCCCCCCCCCCCGGCTGCACAGGACTCCCCGACCCCCTGCAGGATTCCACCCCCATCCAACCCCCCCTGCTCCCTTTCTTCTGACCGCCCCCCACCCATCCAACTGCCCCCTGTCCCCTGACTGCCCCCCGGGACTTCCTGTCCCTTATCCACACCCCCGCCCCACTCCTTACCATGCCGCTCAGAGTGGCAGGACAGGCTTATTGGAAAGTCTGGGAGGTGGGCAGGTGCAAACCGTGCTACCCGCATGGGGGAGCACCCAGGGGCCAGCCTCCCTGGCTGGGAGCTCACGGCCCGGGCAGGACGGTCCCGCGGGCCGTAGTTTGCCCAACTCGGGTCTAGATCACAGTTTCTCAAATGTGGCCACCAAGGGGTTTCCCTGTGGCCACAGCAGTTTCCTGGGCAGTGGAGGGGGGAGAACATCAGCCCCTCCCCTTTATCCCTGTTGCTCCTGCATGCGCCGCCTCACTGGAGGCACAGATGGGACACACAATGCTTAAAGAGCAAGGTGAGGGGGTGAGAAAGTGAGCAGCGGGCTAAGGAGTCAAGCGGTGAGGTGAGCAGCGGGCGGGGGGGGGGTAGGGCGGGGGAGTAAGGAGGCAAATGGCAAGCCAGCAACAGGGTGAGGAGGTGGGTGGTGGGGGCTGACTGCGAGCAGGGGAGTGAGGAGGCGAGCAGGGGTGTGTGAGGAGGCAAGCAGCAGACAGCGGGGTGAGGAGACAAGAGGCGAGTGGCAGGGGGGTGCTGGTGGAGGAGTAAGGAGGTGAGTGGCGAGCCAGCAGCAGGGTGAAGAGGGGGGCAGAGGGGTCTGGCTGCGAGCAGGGGAGTGATGAGGCGAGCGCGGTGAGGAGATGGGAGGCGAGCGGGGGGTCGGATGAGGAGGCGAGGGGAAGGAGGTGAGGCAAGTGGGGGGGGGCCTGGTGGAGGAGTTAGGAGGCAAGCAGCAGGCTGACTAGGCAGACAGGGGTGTCTGGCTGCAAGCGGGGGAGTGAGGAGGTGAGTGGTGAGCCACCAGTGAGCGGGAGTTCTCGTGGTGGGCAGCAGGATGCCTGTGGCAGGGGAGCGAGGAAGCAAGCGGTGGGTGGCGGAGTGAGGAGGAACACAGGAGGCAAGCAGTGGGCAGGGGTGAGGAGGTGAGCAGCAGGTAGAACCCCCCCTTGGGGAGGCTAGCCCCCGACTCCACCCCTTCTGCCCACGCAGCTGGAGCCCTGATGCCCCCTGTGCCTCGAGCCACACGACCCCCACCCCACCGCCACCCCGCATCCGGAGAAGACCCAGGATGGCCACAGCCGTATGTCCCCTCCCCTCCCCAGCTCCCCAGATATCTTTTTCATTTTTATTTGGACTTCTATTATGTCAAAGCATTTTTAAATTTACTTCAGAATTATTATACAGACAACCACTTTTACCAAAAAAGAAAAAGAAACAATAATAAAAAAAGATAAGAACACAAAAAGCACCTTATTTGTGTTTCTATTCTTTAGGTCTAGTATAGAATAGAGATAACTGTGCATGATTTTTATTACTGAGTCTGCAAAAAAACAAACACCCACCCAAAACCTTACATAAATGAATTACAATGATTTGGATGTACATATGTGCATATTATTTTACTATTTTTTTTCTAAAATTATTTATTTTTCCTAAAGTGTAAGTGCGGCCACCAGCAAGAGTTGGTGGCTGCACTCTGACACCACAAAAAATTTGTTGCGAGAACCCATGGAGATACTACTTGGTCCTGCCATGAGTGCAGGGAACTGGACTAGACGACCTCTCGAGGTCCCTATGATTCTTTGATGCTCAGCTAAATGGTTGTAAGAATAGTTTAAATAAAGGCAAAATAAGCTTTTTTGCCAAGAGAAGAGTAACAGAAATCCCAGTGCAAATGAACTGTTGCAAAAATCAAACCACTATGGTGAGAGTTTGGCAGGAACCACAAAAAATTAAGTGGTTTCAACAAACCTGAAAAGAATGACAACTGAGAAAATGTCTTCCATATCACAACCACACTTCATTGAACTGATCCCTATTATGAACGATTCCTTCATCGCTTATCAGGGCACCCTGAACGCGGAAGAGGCCCAAACTAGAATGTTATAACCTTTCTCTTTCAATAACCTTTAAAAAAGTTTACTATTTTGAATGACTCACCCAGCCCTGTTACCACCATGGCTCCTAGATCAGCAACATAGTTTCCTTTGCGAAATGTAGCAACTCTTCCTCCTACACGATCCTTTAAAAATTAAAAAGTATATTTATTAGCTATTTTCATTCAATCAAATTTAGAAAAATGATACCTGAGCAATAAAAATCACTCTCCTGAAAGTCTCCTACAGACATCTAAATAGGGTTATCTGAGCCACAGCCATAAAGTGAATCCCATACCACACGAACATCTATGTTTCAAATAAGCCACTCACATGAGCTTTTGAAGAACAGGCATTAGTATTTAAACGAGGTAGTTAGTAGATTCCTCGATGGCAAAGAAGTTATAGGTGGGAGGGCAGGTCATTTAGTACCAATGTTCATGATAGTATGTTTGTTAGTAAGTTTAAATAAACTATGTAATATACCAAGTAATGGCACTTCCAGCCCCTCACCTTGGAAGAGGTGGAGGGAAGAAAAACTATTCTACAATTGTAAATGACACCCTGTCCAAAAGTTCTGGCTGATATGCAGTCAAAATTTTCATCCCTTAATTTTACCTTATAATTCCTAATTTTGCCCCACTGTTGAACTCTAAACAATTCTTCTTTACCTTGGTGTTAATGCACTTTAATACCTTTAGATTGTTTAGCTGGCCAGCTTTAGGCATTGCTTACCCAGCTCTACATGTTTAACTATTTTAGTCTCTCCTCATAAATCAATCCATTATTCACCACAGCATCTTTGCTGTCCTCTAAATTTCATCAATTGGTAAATATTTTAGAAATGTGAAAGGGGAAATCATACTACAGCTATATTCCATACAAAAATAAACTATGTTAAGAGAAAAAGCAAAAGTTGCAAAGTCAAGAAATCAAGACAGGAAATGTCAAAATTAAATTAGTATGTAGTGTAGTTGTATCCATCTCTGTCCCAGGATAATAGAGAGAAAAGGTGGGTGAGGTAATATCTTTTATTGGACCAACTTCTTTAGGTGAGAGAAAAACTTTCGAGCCACACAGCTCTTCTTCAGGTCTGGGAAAGATACTCATAGCACCACAGTTAAATGCATCATGGAACAGATTGTTTAGTGAAAGTACTCAGCACATATTTTAAGGGACCATTCAAGATAGAGTGGCCCATTACTGCCTATGACTTTGAATGGTCCCTTAGAATATGTGCTAACTACTTACGCTAAACAATCTGTTCCATAAAAAGAAAAGGAGTACTTGTGGCACCTTAGAGACTAACAAATTTATTAGAGCATAAGCTTTCGTGAGCTACAGCTCACTTCATCGGATCATGTTGCATTTAGCTGTGACGCTCGGAGTACCCTTCCCAGACCTGAAGAAGAGATCTGTGTAGATCAAAAGCTTGACTTTCACCAACAGAAGTTGGTCCAATAAAATAATTAGAATGTTTAATTCAGTGACAGGCAATCTTAATTCAGCTCTACTGAGCAGATGGCAAATGTTACAGACTTGAGTTACATGATCACATACTGTTTTCTCTCAATATCTTTGCTTCAATTCTGTGCTCAGAATGGATGCTAAGCGAGCCAAGCATGTGTAATCAATAAGGCTATCTCCTCTCTCCTTTGCTGAAACATGCATAATCAATTACACAGGATTGCACAAATAAAAGGGATGATCTTGTAGTTAGGGACTGCACTGGACTCTAGAAAACTGGGTTCTATCCCTGGCTCTGCCATAGGATTCCTGTGATACTGGGAATGTTACAAACCAAAGTTTTCTGAAGTGGTCACTAACAGTGTTCCCTCCCCATGCTCAACTTGAGACATCCCAAAGGGCTGGATTTTCCCTGCTAAGTCTTACTCAACTACAGCTGAAGTCAATGGAAACTGCAGCCACTCAGCACGTTTGTGGGAAAAAAATCCAGCCCCGAGTTTCAAGGGACCCAATGACCGAAGCATCCAAGATGGCTGCTTTTGCAAGCGTTAGCCTTACTCTGCACTTCAGTTTCCATACCGCTGCTTTCTTACTTCCCAGGGCTGCTGGGAGGATACAGTACGTATTTTATTATTGTACTGAGATGGTGCCTAGAGGCTCCCACCAAGGATCAGTCAAGCCCACAACACAAAGATGGCCTTTGCCCCAAAAAACTTATATTAATGTGCATGAGGTTTTCCTACTACGTTGATGGGAAAACAGAAGTATACCATCATGGGTCACACACTGAAGGAAGAGAAAAACACTTCACAGCAGCCTTGTTCCCTGAGCATTACTCGTGCTGTTCAATGAACAAGGCAAGGGTCCTGTGGGGGGGGGAGGGGAAAGAGTATGCAGTCATGTAATTAAAGACTGCATAAACATCACATATGCTGGTGAATTATGGTTACATGGACAATCTTGAGACTAGTATTTCCTAACTTCTTGACGCTCCACTGTGCAACCTTAAGCCTCTCTCTTTTAATGAAGATATTTTATATGGAATTTCCTAGGCTTTAGGTTTTTAAACTGAACTGAAAGAACTAAAATTCCATCATGTAAGACTAGCAATCCCCCTGCATAAATCATTAGCACAGTTTGAACCTGAACCTTCAGATG